AAATCTCCTCCTAACAATAGTTTCAGTCTACGGGATACCTCTCACAACCTCGTCCAACTCCTCCCAGAAGTGCATTTTGACCTCCTTGTTCAACCGCCTGTGGAACTTATGCACTAATAATGTTGAAATTTATCCTTCCCAAAGCTATCTTAATAACCATCATCCTATTAGTCACCCTCCTAACCTTTACCACTTGTTCCCCGAGTTTCCTATCTACTAAGATGCCTACGCTATTCCTAATCCTCAAGCTTCCTAAGTACCACAACTTAAATCCGTCTACATCCCTATCCTTGGTTCCTGCCCATTTGATTTCCTGGACAACCTACAATGATCTTCCTTTCCTTAAGAATCTTCACCAACTCTTATCGTCTTCCTGTTGATGTCCCTATGTTCCAAGATCCAACTCTCAACCTAGAAGCACCCTTTGGTACCCTTACCCACCCCTACCCCTCACACCCATCCTCAATCAAGGACATGACCTTAAACTTCCATCAAACCCCGACTACACTAACACAGGTTATAACAATACTCAAGTGAAATAATCAAGGGTTCCCCTAAATTGACACTACAACAATCGAAGGAATCTAGAAAAAGGAAAAACAGTGCAACTAACTGGCAGGAAACAAGAATGAAAAATAATCAGGAGTTCACCAAAATTGACACCAAAACAACCACAGAGTCTAGAATTAAAGGAAAAACAGTGCAACTAACAAGCAAAAAACGAAATATACATCAATTAAGCAATCTAATTAAAACACAGACTGTACAAATTAATTCAATACACCTAATTTAAAAAAGGCTAACTGAGCAAATTAATTCAATCAATTTTTTAGAATAAACAAGCAAGGTTTCTCAGTGATACCAGATGCAAGAAAAAGTATCATAAGCAATACGCAAATAACAAAAAGATGCAGACAAAATGCGATGCTAGGGAGGTGATTAATCCAAACTTAAACTATTTTTCTAATATTTATGGCCAGAGGAAGTTCTAATCAATGTATGTAATCTCAGTATAATCCCATGTGCTCCCCGATAGTAACTGCTTGTTATAGTCCCGAACCGCTCCTGGCCCGCAGTATCCCATATTTGCACCTTGATTATCTTTTCATCCTGCTCTGGTCCTCATTTTGGAATCAGCTCTGATGGTGCTAATGTAACTGTCGTCATTGGCGAATCTGAGAAGAAGACTGTAATTGCTGACAGAAGAATTACCGATTAACAACAATTTGAACAAGTAATGGCTGCAGCCAAAAAAAATCAGTAAAATTAATGGAAAAAATCACATTAATATTGCAAAATCTCGAACTATTCGTTGCTCATGTTTGCTTCTTCTGTTTTTGGCTATGGAGAAAATAGGCTTTTCTTCTTCTGAGAAATGAGGATTTCCTGTTGGATAGCTATGCATTTTGTTTCTTGAAACAGGTAACTTGTGTGTGTGTATCTATGTAAATGAACAAAACAATGTATATGTTGTGCTGAAGCCATATTTTACAAAACATGTCTCTAAGAAACTGAAGCTATTCTGACCATCTAAATGGAATCTAGCATATTGAGAATTTCTACAGTTTCTCCTGGGTAGAACTGTACACCAAAAAAACAAAAGAGCAAAATACAGTTCAATTTGATCTTTTGCACAAAATTCCTCAGATCTTCAAACATTTGGAACTTCTCTCTTTCTAGATTGTCCACCAAATGTTAGCTGGGACAGTTATCCATCTTTCACTATCCTTTGCCTAAACTCCTGCTTCCTCCCAACTAAGTAATACATCAGATATCTTGCCTGGCATTATCCAAGTGATGCCTCTAAGATTAATGAAGATTCTCCACAGTTGTTCTGTTAGCTTGCAATGAAGAAAAAGATGTTGTCTCTGCTCTTTCACCACATAAATAACATCTGGGATAGAGAGAGATACCTCTTTTCTTCAAATTTTCCCAGGTAAGACCAGCCTCTTTTGTTAAAAACCAAACAAAGCAAGCCACTTAAGGTGTCTTTGTCTTCCAGATGTGCTTCCGAGGCCAATTCTCAACCTGCTAATTGGTTTGATTCAATACTTTATAAGCTGAACTCACCTTGTATGAACCACTACTATGCCCATTCCACCAGAATCTATAGCCCCCTCCTGTAAACCACCAATATTTTCCGAAGTACTGTAAAATTCAGTCGCCCTATTTAATTCCCAGTCATTGAGCATCACTCTGAAGATAAATCCCAGCCTTGTTTTGTCCACATTTCTGTCAGGTTGAAAATATCAGGAGTATTGATCGCTATGTATTGTTAAGACTGTCATTAGGTGGTGACAGTGCTTGGTTCAAGCAAATAAATGGTTGCTCTGTGCTATCAGGTTGAAATTCTACAGCTTGCACTTCATTCAATCTTGAAATGTGACAAATTCTGTTAGTCCAAAAGATGAGTTCTTCTTGAGTCTGTATGGTTGAAGATTATTTCTGATGGGGCAGAGGGGATGCATTCTGGTGGTTGTATATTTATGTCATGCTTGTCGAGTATTGAGGTTGTAACATTTTTCTTGATTACATGTTACTCCATGTCTGTGTACCCTATCCTTTTAGAGTCAGTTACACGAGTTCTGAAGTCCATCTTTGTAACTCTCCATCTATTAAGTACACAAACACGCTTCTTTATGTGTTTTTTTCTTAATCTTCTGCGAGTCCATAGATCATTCACCAACTTAACTTAGCTTTCTTATATATGTCTTCAAGTATTGGGTTTCATTGAGAAACTATTTCTGCTGTGCATGTGTGGTGTGGTGTATTGCCAGTTTTGAATTTTGTTTGCTAAGACATCCATCTTACTCTTCAATCGCTTGCCCCGGGATTTCTGGAGGGTTGATCATTCTATTTAAAGTTGTATCTTGCTTCTTTGGATGTTGGGACATCTGAAGTGAAGGAACCTCCACAGTTATGCAACTTAAACATGCAAAGAACTTTGGAATAGTCTATTCATATATCTAGCCACCACATTACCTTTATTTACATGTAGGATATATGTTAAGTTTTCTGGTTTGATATTTCTTCTGGTTCCACTTTCTTTAGGGGACAGCTGCTGGTGCTAATAACTAGCCTTAAGACACTTTTCTCTTCCTAATGATAGATTGCATCTCTAGTAGTGATGAATGTGCATTTGTGGATTAAAAAAAGGGGGCAGCCAGGTGCATGAAGTATCTGGTGTTCACGCAAGGTCCGGGGAGGGGTCGCACCCCAAGGAGGTGTGATAGAGAGAGAGAGAGAGAGAGAGAATGTTAAGGATGGTAGCACACGTTTGCCAAGGCGCTCTCTTTCCTAGAGATCTCATAGTTTATACTTCTCATAGTATTTGTGTGATTGTTCTTTTCTCGGGCATTGCATTAGATTCAAAATTCAGTGGCAGCATCTTTTTTAGATATAACCATTTGGTATCCGGAACACACTAGCCGCACTAATCCATATTCTCACCACGTAGGGCCCAGACGCCCAGTTAAGGAGGTAGCGCTCCCTACTAGTGGCAGTGTTTATTACTTCTTATTCACCTCTTTCACCACTCCACCATCTTCATTTGTGGTGGATGTGTGGAGGTTTGCAAGAGGTGAAAGGAATCACAATTTAGTGTCACTCTACTTGCTAATTGCTATTTCCAGACAACTTTCTGATTTGGTTCTTTATAACTTTCGCCTGGGAAGTCTCTACTTTGTGGTGTAACTTTTCTGCGAGGAAGTTCTTGTTAGTCTGAGTTTCCATACTTTTTGTACAGGAAGCGTCTATTCAGCTTGATCAACGAGGTGCCAACTGTTTTTGAAGTTGTGACCGAACGAAAACCTATAAAAGATAAGCCCAGTGCAGATAGTGGGAGCAAATCACGTGGTAGCAGCATAAAGGTAGGGAAAAATCAAAGCCATTATGTTATCTTCCCTTTAATTTGTTGTTCCTTAGTATTCAGTAACATCATGATACTTTTATTTAGTTTCTCCTCAGTATGTCATGTTCTACTATTTATGTGCTTGCTCACTCTCTCCTTCATTACTAAAGTCAAAATTTCCCCATTTTATGCAGAGATCTAGTGATGGTCAGGTGAAAAGCACCCCAAAGCTGGAAGATGAAAGTTACCAGGAGGATGAAGAAGAACACGGTGAAACACTCTGTGGAAGCTGTGGTGGGAATTACAGTGCTGATGAGTTTTGGATTGGCTGCGACATCTGTGAGAAGTGGTACCACGGCAAGTGTGTGAAGATAACACCTGCTAAAGCTGAGAGTATAAAGCAATACAAATGCCCGTCTTGTACCTTGAAGCGGAGCAGACAGTAGTCCTCTCATGAATCAGAGAAAGAGCAGCCATAATTCTATTTCTGGCCATTAACAGAATAGTACAGCAAATATTACACCTGTAATGGACATGCTATTGTAATCTTTCTTTACCTATATATGGTCAAAAAGAAGATGAAGTTTCTCTTATTTCCTTCATCCATCTTCAGAATTTAACACAATCTCAATACATATTTAGAAAGTCTGTTAATTTACTCTACTTCCTTTATCATGTTAAATTGTTCACAGTTATTTGTCAATGAAATACATAGTTATGTTGATTATATGCCTTTACAGGTACAACTTCCAAAGAAAGACCTGATAACTTCCATATCTGGTTTGTTACTATTTTATTTTATGGTGTGCTATTTGGATTTAGCCAACAGTATGAACCAAAAACTGAAAAGCTGGCTTGTAGAAATGCCTTATTTTGTCTTGTACACTCAAATTCCAATTGAGAAGTGCCAATCTTGTTAGCTTCTTGTTGCTTATGAGTTTAGTTCTCTTCACCAAATGATTATAAAAATCAACATCATTTGGAATTTGGAATATCTTTTTCACATAGCTTGGTTTGTTCCGAAAATTTATCGGTATTATACCTACCCTGTTTCCATAGGATCCATCAACTTGTTAACATTATCTTCACAACAGCTTTACTTATTTAAGTGTTGTTTCTTTCTTTGTCTATAAGCTTTGGCAGAGTTCTCTCTGCAATGCCTGGGAAATTCAGAGAGCAGCCAAGTTCCAGTATGGCTTCGAATCGTGCTGATTGTTCATCAAAGGAGAGACTGAAATGGACTCAAGAGCTTCATGATCTGTTTGAGAAGGCAGTTAGTCAGCTCGGAGGTCCGGAAAGTAAGTGATCCTTGTTGAAGTGTGTGATCGTTTTATGTTAAGAAGGTTTAACAGTTAAACAGTGTTCAACTTCAATTTCTTTGTTTAACTACGGTTTGGACATTGCCTCTCACGTGTAGGCCTGATTGTTTTCTTTTTGATAATGAGTGACGATGAGATTCACTTTTGTTTGGCTAAATATGTCTTCGACATGCACACCTAATTCCTTTTCTTGTGCCAAGCATGTCGATTTTTTTATGACAAGCCTGATTCTCTTTCATTTTTTCATGTTGTGAAAATTCTTTTTATTTTCAACAATTCTTCAGTTGAATTTGAAAAGCTTTCTACCATATAATTATCCTCTCGCCTATTTTTTTTTTTTTTTTCATTTTCTTAAAATAAAAAAACTAAATATTGGCTTGCAGGAGCAACACCAAAAGGAATTTTGAAGGTTATGGGGATTCCTGGTCTAACAATCTTCCATGTGAAAAGCCACCTACAGGTTTTCTTATTATTATTTCCTTTGTGTTTGTGATGATTTCTTTCATTTGTGTAAATAATTTATTCATAATTTAATAAAATGTATTTTCTATAATTCAGAATTCATAATATTAGGATTCTAGATCTGCCTCTATTAGCGGAATAGCTTCATAAGTCTGGATACAGATTCACGTGAATTTAGTAACTTTTGCTCATAGTTTTTTATATATATTAAGAAATTTATCAAATATCTATAAATATTTAACTGTAAACTCAATTAATATTGTAGTATTAACTTGAAATCCTTGAAAAAACTCATAGTGAGGATTTAAAAGAATTATTAAATATAGCGAGAATTTTCTTAAATTTGTTCTGTATATTTAAGATATAGAGCAAATAGTTATATAACTTATACAGACCAAATTTCGGATACTATTGTTACATTTGATAATTATCAAAACTATAGCTAATTTTGATATTATTTATTCAATCCTTATTTTCTCTTTCGATTTGCAACAGAAATACCGTATGTCAAAATTTGTACGTGAAGACCCTGAAAGTAAGTTTTTTTTTTCTTTTTTTTTTATACAAGTTAATTATGTAAATAAAATAACATATACTAAAGTTCTATATTAAATTCTTTTGTCTTGCTTTTCATTTTTTAACGTATAGTTGGCAAGTTTGAAAGGAGAAGCATATCAGAAATTTTGCCAAACTTCAGTGTTACAGCGTGAGTTACTGTTCCATTCCTTATTAATACAGACACGGATTCTGAATTTAAAGTTTATGAATTTTCATAATGATATCAAATTAAATATTTAATAATAACTGAGTTCACAATCAAATATTTATACGTATATAATGAAACTTTATAACATACATAAGGTTGATACTAAGTTCACTACTAAAAAAGGGTCATATGTTTTTTATTTTTTTTATTTTTTCGTATTATAATTAAAAATCCGCAAATAATTTACAATACCTAAAAATATTAGGTGAAAGTTCTTTTATACTATAGTTTATAGAAGTTAAACTCTATATCGATTTATATAGGGGCGCTCAACTTAATGAAGCATTACAAATGCATATGGATGCACACAAACGATTAAGTGATCATCTTGAGGTAAACTAATTAAGCTTATAATTTAATTAATCTTTTTTCATCCATGTTTTGCAAATTATTAATTAAGATTAATCTTTTTTCTTAAAGGTTCAAAGAAACTTGAAGATAAAACTTGAAGCACAAGGAAGATTTCTAGAGCGAATAATGGAAGAACAAAAAGTTTGTGCTTCAGGTTCTAGACCTAGCTGCAAGTCTTATTTGTATTCACCCTTGTCGTTACCATCCCTATGCGAGGAATCTGAATCAAACGTTAAGGAACTCGAGGTTGAATATGATTTCGAGTTTGATATATCTGGTTGTCAATTACCACGAAAAAGGATTCGATTCGAGGAAGACGATGGATTATTAAATCATCGATACAATAGTACTAATAATGTTACATATTCACCACAAGAATTAGAATGGACTACTCTTGCAAATCACCAGTCATCACCATATGATTTGCATGCTTTATATGATTATCTTATTTAATCAACTTAGTTGAATATATGTTGTTGAATTTAAAGAGTACGATTGGACATGTGAAAAAAAAGTGTGTTAGTTAGGGAAAATATATATAAATATATGAGTGTATTTAAATAAAACAACATATTGTATAATACGCTTATGTAATCTTGATAATTAAGCACAATTTACATATGGGGTTGTTCTTAATTAGTCTATCATCAAGATGTACAATGTCTTACGGTATTAATTTCTTTGACATTATGACCTTACATAACGATGTTGTTATTAAATTATAATTTTATGTATTGAATTTTATTTGACTATTTGTGGTTTTAGTATGTGTGCTCGGGATAGAAGTTTTTATAAATGTATCGCTATGCTATTAAGTATATATTTTGATTAAAATTATTTCTTTCTAAGAGGTGGAATAGAATAACCATGTTGAAGCATTATCATATTATGCGTCTCTGACTTTGTATAATGCATTGTATATCTCATATTCCCTCCGTCCATTTTTATTTGTCATGGTTTTCTTTTTTAGAATCAAATGATAAGAACTTTGACTATTATTTTACGATGTATTGTTTATCATATTGATATGCAAAAAATTGCGATTTATAATATTTTTCCTAAAGTTTTTGAATATCTAAATTTTTTGTCTAAAATATCGAATCTAATTTCACTTTGAAAATTAGGCAAATTGACTTTCGAAAAGCGCAACATGACAATTAAAAGTGGACGCGGAGAGTAATATGCCTCAATCTTCTACTCTTTCCCGAAGTAGATGATTATTCATGGCTATTACCTTGACACCAAAGAAAAGTTTGTCCTAGTACTTTATTTCTATCCTAGTTGATCCTGATTCAATATTAAACGTATAAAATAATTTTTGATAAATGTTTTTTCTAAAAAAAATAAATTAAGAGAACCAACTCTGCCCTTTGGTTTGTTTTTGAAATCCTATAACAAACTGATGGGCAGAGTCGATTTTCTAGGTTTTTGCATTTGGTATTTTTTCATAAAATCGACGGACTAATCGATCAAGTCTGTCAGTTTTCGAAAAAAATAAAATAAATTCAAATGCAGAAACTTGAATTTTTTTTGTAACCACCTTCCAAATAAAACAATTAAATGTGTTGGTTTCAAATTAATCCTAACTGAATTACAGCTTACTCTAGTCATCAATTTAAAACATCAAATTCAAAGTAAAGACTCGTCAAAGGATCTACAAAATATATCAAAGTTCAAAAACTTCAAATATATACAAAATTTCGAAGTATTTTCAATGTTCAACAACAATAATCCTAATACCTAAGGGCATCTCCAACCCAAACACTAAATTTTACCTTGCACTAAATTTGGTGTCAGCACTATTTTTGGTGTAATTAACTCCAACCCACTGCACCAAATTTTACATCAAAAATGAATATTTTTCTCTCTCTTTAATATTATATTATTATTTCTTAATTCATTTATATTTTCTTATTTCATAAAACAAATTCTTTCTAAAACATTCACCATATATAATTCATATTATTTCCTTTTATAATTGTTTAATATAAAATTATTTTGTACCATAATTTTTTAAATAATATATCCAATTATAATTTATAGTAGCATTAACATAAATTTAATTTAAAAAAAAGTCATATATAGAAAAATTAATTTATAAAAAAGCTAAATTTTATATCTAAAATTAATATTATAAAAATATTACATAAAAAAAATTTAAATATACAAGAGATTTACTTGAAACATACAATTTATATAATGTTTAATTAAAAGTTTATATAATGAAATAATATTAAAATATTCAAAAAGTGAATTGGTGTGATGAATAATGTTACACACACCAAATTTGGTGTTGGTTGGAGCTCAAAACACCAAAATTTACACCAAATTTAGAATTTGGTGTAAAATTTGATTTTGGGTTGGAGATGGTCTACGGGGTACATTACATACACTTCATCATCATTAGAACTCTCTCCATTAATTGAGGTTGAAGGAGAATGGAGCACACCATGCACACCACTTTCAATTAGGTTGAAGGAGATGCCGAGGCAAGACGATTGTCGCGATGATATAACACATGCTCTTATTTTCAACAATCGTCTTGCCTCGGCATTTGCCAAGGCATGCACGCATAAGTCGTTCGATTTGCTAGAATATTTTCAGAGGGGCAAATTCGACGATGACACCTGTCAATTTGATGAATCACCAAATAGTTCGACGTATTGCTGAAATACATCACCAAAGTGACCCAAAGACCTCCAGAAGCTATTAGTTTTGGCGATCTAAAGCCCTATTTTGGCTACCTGCTGAATATTTTGGCGATTGGACCTCCAGATCGTCGATGTGATCGATGAGATCCATTAAAAGGTCATGCTCTTTGATTTTTCAGGTCTTCTTACGTTTCAAAAGGGATATTCTTGACCTTTTACCTTGATTAACTTTTCTAAGTCCTAATAACTTATCCATTCACGCCCAACACTTAAACAATAAAATTCAATATGTTCAAAGTTGTCTCAAACAAGAAACTGGGGTTTTTCACCTTGAAGTTTCAGTTAAGGAATTATGTCAAGTGTGTTCATTTCAGGTACGTAGGATTTCATCAATAAGTATCCTTCACCCATTGAGTCTAAAAATGAACTCAATTCTCCAGTATTTCACTATGAAAATCGAGGGTATCACAAAAAACATGAATATCTTTTTTATTTAAGTCTCTTCTCATATATAAACAAGGGAGGACCCACGTGGGCTTCAGAGGTTCACTCGAACCCCCTCATTAAAAAATCACACCGTATATATAAGGTAAATTTTTTGTATTTCTGTAGATATATATATTTTGAACCCCCTCAATAACAAGGAGAAACTGATAGCGTAGTGGCAAGTCCTCCTGAAATTAAGCTTCATGTCACCAGTTCAAATCTTTGTGATAACGATTTTTATTTTTTAGTTTCATCTGTTTTTCACATTTTTTAGTTTTTTTAAAAATAAAAAACGTGCGGCTTATTTACAAACCCCCTGAACGAAAATTCCGAGTCCGCCACTATATATAAATAGTCTCTAAATACATGTTTTTCATATTGTGTAGTATCTTTACTTGAGTATATTTTCATGAACCCTCAAAATATCGATATTTCATGTTCTGTTGTTTTAAATTGCATGTTTCCTTCAGATTACATAAATTATCATGATTAGCTTTATACTCAGTTTGTTTTAAAGTGTCCATCACTCAGTCTCAGATATCAAACTCATTGAACTTCATTAATATCAGTTTTGCAGACCATTAAAGTGATTTCCACTGAAGCATACTCTTAATACTAGTATTTTTTATATAATATATATTATTAGACTATTACTATTTTTCATGAACCGGGATTTAGGTCCAGCCTTATAGATTCCTTTCAAAATCATAGTGCATGTATGTTTTTTTTATGCATTTTACTCCAACCATATCATGTCTCCCATACACTTACAAGTCTCACGTTTCAAAAATGCATGGCTTATATATGTGTACTCATCTCATAGATCAGGAGCTTCGAATCGTAATAGTAAGATATATGACATGCATAACATCTAGATATGTCATCGATACTTTTGAACATTTTTTCCAAAAGTAAGTTTTCGATTAGTATGGTACACGAAATGACATCAATGACTGTGAATCAGTTTTCTTATAAAAGCAAAGTTCACTAGTAGTATGGAATTCAGGTATGATATTCATGATTATAAACAACATTTTCAAGAGCTATCAATTATGTTCAGTTGGGAGTAGTACTTAGCAACGAGTTGGACTAGGGTCAGTCTACCCAAATCCTAGAACTACATGTCATCATAGGTCTATATTGCCCTTTTAGGCGCATGTAAGGGTGGCAACGGAACCGGTAACGGAACTACCGGACCGGGACGTTCCGGAACCGGAACGGAACGGTCACCACGGGCCGGAACCGAACCGGAACCGGGACGGACCGGAACCGATAATTCCGGAAAAAAATACCTATACCCGTCCCGGACCGGTAACGGACCGGACCGGACCGGAAACCGGGTCCAACCGTTATAAATTATATTTTTTTATTAAAATTAAAAAATTAGGAATATTACACTTAAAAATTTATACTTTTAAAGTTTTAAATACAAACTTTCAAACTTTTAAAAGTATAAAAGTTTAAATTTCACAATTTAAAACTTTGAAAATTTAAATTCAAACTTTAAAACTATAAAAGTTTAAATTTCACCCTTTAAAAGTTTGAAAATTTAAATTCAAATTTCAAACTTTAAAACTATAAAAAGTTTAAATTTCACAATTCACACTTTAAAAGTTAGAAATTTTAAATTTGAATTATAAACTTTAAAACTATAAAACTATAAAAATTTAAATTTAACACTTTAAAGTTTAAATTTTAAAAGTTTGAAAATTTAAATTCAAACTTTAAAACTATAAAAGTTTAAATTTCACACTTTAAAAGTTTGAAAATTTAAAACTTTAAAACTATAAAAGTTTAAATTTCACACTTTAAAAGTTAAATTTGAACTTTTGAAGACAATAATAAAAAAAAATTAAGGCGAATAGCCTATACTTTTATTAATATTAATTAAATAGTACAAGTTGAGTTACAAAATATTAGTAGAGTATTAAAAAATCTAATCTACACAGCCACCTTCTAGGAAGGGTTCTGTTTGAATTAGACCTCGAATTATTATACTCATACTAATAGACATTTAAATTTAATAGTTCATGCTACCAAGGAAATCTTTTTTTAAATCATTTAACATTTCTCTAGTAACATGCTCTGGAATTGGTTGATTAGCTAGTTCTTCCATTGCATCAATGCCGTCATCACTAAAATCTAGCATTATTTCATCAACGTCATTTTCAAATTTGGTCGGTAGAGGTGGACGACCATAACTCCTTCTCTCGCCATTAATCCAATCTCTAAATAGTACGGATATCTCCAAGCTATCTGCTGCTAATGAATATCTATGCTCTCCAATTTGAAATCTTGCTGCACTAAAAGCGCCTT